TTTTTTTAGATTTTTGCCATAGGGTGCATGCATGCACTTGCCAGAGAGAGACAAAGAGAGGGAGAGAGAGACAGTGAAAGAGAAAGTTAGAAATCAACCTCTGGGAAGATAGTCACACCACAATCCCTTCTCCATTCTCTTCTTGGGATTTTGGGAATGCATGCACACCCCCCCAGCATGAATTTTAAGCCGCCCGGTCTGAGACTTGAACCATGTCAGCCATGTGGGAGTCCAGCACCTTAACCACTACACCACTGCTGGTCTGCCAGTACTTCTCTTGCATTGCACTAATTCCCAGTTTAGCCCTATGTACGCCTAAGTTCAATTACAGTTCTGCTGCTCACTAGTTCTATGAGTTTAGGCAAGTTACTCATCCCTCCTTGTCCTAGTTTCTGGTCTCTGAAATGGATATATTATTAAAACTTTCTTCAGAGGTTTGTGAAATGAATTGATAAAATATGTAAAACATTTTCACCAGGACTTGCATTGGAGTAAGATGTGTGCATATTTGCTGTTGTTATTGCTATTATTATGGTTTTCATTACCTTTATCATTATCATTTTTAGGTTGCTTTAAATATGGCATTGGAAAGTAATTTTATATTTAATACATGATTGGCTTCAGTGATAGAAGGCAATGTTGCTGAGGTTACTATTCATTCATTCAGTCTACGTATTTTCATGATGTCCAGTCAGTCACCAGTAGGAACCAAATAATTTGTATGAAATTAGCTTTAAAATAAGTGATCAGCTTTTTTTCACACTGTTTTACTGTGTGGATTTATCTTAAACTTACTATTTATAGTCATATGACCATAGTTAAACTTTATTTAGATTATTTCTTTGATTAATGAACTGCACAATATTAAAAATGTGGTACAGAAAATCTCCAGGGCACTGCTTTGTTTTACAAGTTTGATAAGATTATTTTCGGAGATAAGGATAATGAGTGCAATACTCTTATTCTAATTGTCTTTAATTCCATTTTTTTTTAAATGTTAGCTTTTTGAAAAGTTTGCTAATCTCTTGGATAAATGCTATATGGATAGCTATCAAAGAATGAACAACTATTTGATTTACACCTGCATGAACTAATTAGCTGAGCTCTCCCCAGGTATAGAGTACTTAGAAAAATAAAGTTTAAGACTTAGAAAATAGTATTTTTAAAATTTAAATGTCAGGGCATGAGGCCAGCAGATGATGTGGTAGTTGAGGTGCTAGACTAGAATATGGTCAACCATGGTTCAAGTCCTGAATCTTGTGGCTCGAAAATTATCCCAGGCATGTGTGCATGTGTGCCCAAAATCCCTAGAGAGAATAGAGGAGAAGGACTTGTGATGTGGACATCCCCCCAGAGGTGAGTTTTCATTTTCTCTCTCTCTCTCTCTAGCAAATGCATATGCCCTATGGCAAAAACCTTTAAAAAAAAAAAACTGCATGACTTTAAAAAATTCATAGAAGTGAAATTAAATTATGAGTCTATTTTTGTGAAAAAAAAACATGCAATTTTTTCATAAAATACATTTTTCATGTTTTTGACACATATACACATGAGTATATGTAACATTTTATTATCAAAGCAGTCTTTTTTTAATGAGTTTTATTTTAACCTTTAGTAGGTTAAGGAATTGAAATTCAGAGCAATTAAGTAACAGACAATTTTTTTTTCTTGTCTCAAGTCCATTGATTTAAACATTACCCGCTGTGTGTACCTTCCCTGACTGATTGGTGTTTTAGTCCATGCCACATAATCAGGGCTAGGGAACGTCATGAAGTGAGCACCAATATGGGAGAGGCACAGCTGAAAACAGTTTGAGGTCAAATCCAGAAAGTACAGTGAGTGTAAACTTACAGACTCTAGGGTGGGAGAGCAGTTAATTGCATGAAATACACAACTAACAGGGAAAAATTTACAGATTACAATTCTAGGAGAGGATGTTGGTTCTAGCTGGTATGAGATGATGTAAGCTGAGTTACATGTTCAATATATCATGTAAACTGAGTTGCATGTTCACTATTCTATTGGGGCAAGGAGGATCTGATATTCCAGAGCTTGGCCCCAGCATAAGACTATAAGCATATTTCTATGTAGGTATAGAAGCTAAGTAAATTATTGGCAGAGTTTGTCTCAAAATATCTTGAACCCATTCTAAGTCATTGCTCAAGCCTTTGTTACCTCTTAGCTAGATTTTTACAGCAATCTACTAACTCCTGTCTCAGATATCAATCTCTGTTCATTGTAATCAATCCCACGTATTACTGCTGGAAAAAATGTCCTAGACCTCAGCATTTATCAAACCATTCCTTAGTTCCAAACATTTGATTTGGGTAAAACCTGGGTTTGAACATTGGCCCTGCCTTTACTACCTATGTGATCTCAGACTAATAATATAACCTGTTTAAAATGAATTCTTTATTAGGAAAATATGTACCATGATCACATAGATTATGACATGATTAAATGAGATATATTACAGGAAACTGACAGCACAATGGTAAATGCAAGACTGGATAGACTAATTTCTACTGAGTTTTCATTAACATTATTCCATACATTATAGTTTATTGTAACTAATTATTGGTCACTGTCCTAAACAAGACTGGAAATCCTCCAAGGATTCCTGATACCTAATATAATACAGATCTTAGAATATAATAAGGACATATTTTTTGAGTGAATGCTTGGATATAACACATTTCATAAATTATAACTATTAACTGCTCACTGATAATTATTACAAACACCTTTATTTAAAGAAAACTAACATTCAAAGAGAGTTTTCCAGATAGTATTACAATATGCGTCTCTTAAGAGGCACCACTTAATTTATTTTGATCTTAAAGGACAATGAGGCATGAGGTTTCTCTTTTTTTTGTTAATTATACTTTTTGAAAACCTTATTATCATTTTTTAAGAGAATTTTTTTGCTGTAGGGTGTGTGTGCTCTCCAGAAAGACAGAGAAACAGACAGAAAGTGAGAAATCATCCCCCATGGGGCATGGTCATGTTGTAATCCCTTCTCCTCCTTGGATTCTGAGCACATACACACAAGTGCTCATTGTGGGTCTTAAGCTGCCAGGTACGAGACTCGAATAATGGTAGATTCGGCTCATTCCTAATTCTTATCTCATTTCTGACTCCATCTTATTACTCAATTCCTACTTCCCAAAATTAGTCTCCCATAAGCTTGCCTTTTTTCTTAGGTTTAAACCTGCTATCATGTTTTATCCTATCTTCTCCTTTACCTATGATATCCATTCATTTGGCAAATTATTTGCAGAATCATCTAAAAATATTTTGAACCTGTCCCATGTTTCTATATTCTATCCCTATAATCATTGCTTAAGCTTTCATGACCTTGTACCTAGATTACTGCATTAATTTACTAACTCCTGTTCCCAAAACCAATCTCTCCTTGTCTTTTTCTTTTCCAATCAACCCTACATATTATTGCACAAATATTTATAAACCACAGCACTTATTACACTGCTTCTTACTTCTAAAACCTTTAGTGACTTTGCTTTCTACAAAATTAGGCATGAATTTTGTAGCCTGGAATTTGACATACTATTGTGAGGTTTGGTCTCCAACTAATGGTTCAAATGACTCCTATACACATCATCTCCTCTTTCTCTCACTTCTTTTCTTCTTCACTTTTTCTTACTCCTTTTCCCTTTCTCTCTCTCTCCATCTTCACTTCTTCCTCCTCTTTTTCTTTTCCCTTCTCTTCCTTTTCTTCCTCCCTCCCTCACCCTTTCTGTCTCTGATGTGCATTCTCCCTCTCTTTAAAGCCTTCTGTGTGTCCACAAACTACCTGGTTGAGTATCGCAGTGCATAGACCTTCTCTCCTGCACATGCTCTCTTCATCCCCTCACTTCCCTTTTCTGATAGAAACTCTAGTAGCTCTTAATGGCCTATCTCA